TGCCGAGCTGACCCGCAGCCTAGTCTGGGGGAGCGAGCCATGACGACGCTGCGGGGGCTCTGGCCCGAGGTGCAGGACACCTGCACCTCGCTGGGTTTGATGCTGTCGATCGTGCTGTCCGTGGCGCTGGCCCGCGGGGTCCTCCAGCGGCACGTGCACCGGCCTACGGCCCACGCCTTCGTCTTGGAGTTTCTGGCCACCTTCCAGCTCTGCTTCTGCACCCTCGAGCTGCAACTGCTGGGCGAGCAGGAACCCGCGCACCCCACCTGGTCGCTGACGCTAACCTACTTCTTCTCGTTGGTGCATGGCCTGACTCTGGTGGGCACGGCCAGCAACCCGTGCGGTGTGATGATGCAGATGATGCTGGGGGGAATGTCCCCCGAGACGGGGGCGATGAGGCTGTTGGCTCAGCTGATGGCTGCTCTGGGCAGCAGGTACTGTATAGGCGCCCTGTGGAGCCTGGGACTGACCAGGTATCACGTCGGTGAGAGGAGCTTCGCTTGCAGGAACCCCATGCACGTCGACTTGCCCAAAGCCGTCGTCGTAGAGGCCATCTGCTCCTTTATCTTCCACAGTGCCCTGCTGCACTTCCAGGAGGTCGGAACCAAGCTTCGTATCCACCTGCTGGCAGCACTCATCACCTTTTTGGTCTATGCAGGTTTGTTATTCCCACAAAACACCCGGTTCGTCCAGACCTCTTGACCTGAGGCTCTAAGCTCTTTACCAAGATGTATTTGAAACCCCTGAACCTCTGTGATGTCAGTACTAGTATCCCCGTTATTCTAACCATTTTGCATCCTGTTCTTTACCAGTAGAGCCAAAATATAGATCCTCCATTCAGTGCCTTTTTGAACACTCAGAAAAAGGAGCCACTTCTGTGCTGAAACTGAGAACTTGTGAGCTATTGCCAAAGGTTCAAATATCCTACAAAGGGATTGTTTCAATGGCAGAGAGGAAGATAAGTTATCAGCTACCTCTTTCCTCAAGCCAACCTGGTATAGATCCTTTCTGACACTCACTGAAAAATGATCCTGGGCTTAAAAAGTTCCTTCCAATTTAAAGCTACATGATTGGTTAGTAGTAAGAGTGGCAAGTACAGTTCAGTTCAGTTCTATTTCTTAGTTCTTTTCCTGAAAAATTACTTAAAAGTAATTTATTTCCTTAATTCATCTTGAGTAATAAATGAACTTTTAAGTGACTTATCAAGAAAGATGCTTTAAAAGTAAAACTTGGCCCTCACTGGTTTGGCTCAGTGGATAGAGTGTTGGCCTGCGGACTGAAGGGTCTCAGGTTCGATTCCAGTCAAGGGCACATGCCCGGGTTGTGAGCTCAACCCCCAGTAGGGAGTGTGCAGGAGGCAGCTAACCAATGGTTCTCTCTCATCGATGTTTCTATCTCTCTCCCTCTCCCTTCCTCTCTGAAGTCAATAAAAATATTAAAAAATTAAAACTTGCTTGAAATTAAAGGTTCTTTTTAAAAACAACTCTTGAGAAATCTGATTTCTTGTAAGCCATTTGTTTACCTTGACATATCAGATGCAAAAAGAAAAGTTTAATGATGAAATGTGTCATTTTAAAAGATTACAACAAAACATCTTCATTGGGACTATATCTGAATTATAAAATGTTTTGGAGGAAAGGAAATATGTAGTAAGAGTTTATCTTCTTCCCATTAAAATTAAAATATGAGTAGAAGCAAACCTTGAGCTGAGGACTCCTACTAAACACATGCTTGCCCTCCTAGGGTAAAATGAACACCACGAATGTTTTCCTTTCTTTAGATCTAGTACCATTCTTTTTTAAACACAGATGGAAATAAATGGTATAGGCAAGAGGGCAGGATATAATGCATATTTGAGGAGTTGGTGAATAGTTGCTTATTAAAGTTTTAGGTTTTAGCTAAAGCAGAAACATCCTCCATATATTAACAGGGTCATCCCTTGCAAAACGTTTTGCCACAGTTGGGACACAGTTGAGGGTACTCAGAAGTCACCACCAATACAGGTCACATTAAAACAGCTGATTATATATTTTAAAACAGAAAATAACTGTCCAGCACTGTAGCCACAGGCTCCTTGGATAGCCACTGACCAAGTGTCTGTGTATTTATTGATTTAGCACCCTGCACCTTGATGCACAAATTGAGGCCACTGAAGTCATTACCACTTATGTACTTAATTGGTTTCCCAAATTAAGTGAAGAGGGGGGAAAAGGTGGGGGAAGGGGAAAAGCTGTGTGACCTATTAGCAGTTAAAGCTATAAAATTACTAATGCAAATTTCAAGCAAATCTTCCTTAACTTAGATATGGGAAATTTTAGCTCACTGAACAGAGTAAGAGAGGACTGCATTCATTTTTAAAATTAATTTGATGTTGAAAAAAATTATTTTATACATCTAAGTTGTTACTACAGCCCCCAGTTCATTTCCTTTGTAGAATTTTTATACACTTGTTTTCTGATATAATGTCTGCTTTCCTTCACTAGACAGTAAGCTTTATGAGTAGAGAGACTAAAATTGATTCATTATAACATATAACCATGACTTAGCATGGTGTCACCTGCTACAAAATAAATAGTAAGGATTTTTAGAATGAGTGAATCAGCAAATACTCTATTCACTTTTTAAAAATCATACAGAAAGAAATAATATATATATGGGTATTCCATATGTAATGTCTAGGGACTTTCAAAATAAGCACAATAAATTATCTGAAGAAATTGTAGGATTTTTACTTTATTAATTCAGGAGTTCTTCATGATGAATATAAGTAAGATTTTTGTCGGTGGAGAAGGGAATTAAGCTTTTTACATGTTTTCATTTTTAATACAATAACCATCTGAAACAGGTGCTAATTTAAAGATGAAAAATAAGTTCAAATAAAAGTTCAAGACATTTTTAAAAGTATGTATTTTTATTTATTTCAGCGAGAAGGGAAACATCAATGAGAGAGAATCATTGATTGATTGGCTGCCTCCTGCACACCCCACACTGGGGATCGAGCCCACAACCCGGGCATGTGCCCTGACAGGGAATTGAACCCTGATCTCTTGGTTCATAGTTCAACACTCAACCACTGAGCCACACCAGCTGGGCTCAAGACATTTTATATTATGCTAGTTACAATAGAATGGTTAAGAGGAGTTGGACTGTTTCCTTAGGAGAGATACTTAATTTGGGTTGTTTCCTCATTTTTAAAATGAAGAATACTACTCAGGGGTCCTCAAACTTTTTAAACAGGGGGCCAGTTCACTGTCCCTCAGACCGTTGGAGGGCCGGACTATAGTTTAAAAAAAAAACTATGAACAAATTCCTATGCACACTGCACATATCTTATTTTGAAGTAAAAAAAAACAAAACGGGAACAAATACAATATTTGTATTGGCATGTGCTTGGTTGTGGGCACATCCCCAGTGGGAGGTGTGCAGGAGGCAGCTGATCGATGTTTCTTTCTCATCGATGTTTCTAACTCTCTATCTCTCTCCCTTCCTCTCTGTAAAATAATCAATAAAATGTATTTTTTTAAAAAACAACAAAAAAACTATGAACAAATTCCTATGCACACTGCACATATCTTATTTTGAAGTAAAAAAACAAAACGGGAACAAATACAATATTTGTATTTGCATGTGGCCCACGGGCTGTAGTTTGAGGACCCCTGATATCAATTGTGAGGAATAGAGTAATGTATGCAAGTTCTTAGCATAGTACCTGCTACTAATATTCTGGTCACTAGAAAGGGCTAGTCCACTGTAAATTAGTTCATGGACATTCTGGATTATACATGAGTCTGATGTGATTTTAGGAGTGTCATTCTGTCAGAGAATGTGATTCCCTTAGGAGTGCTGAGAAACATTAGGGCCTAGAATTGCCAAATTTGGGACTTAACCTTTCACTGTGGTGACTTCACTCAGTTCATACTGTCCTCCAAGACTCTTCACAGCAGCTGGCCAGATCTCCCCACTGATACCTCTTCTTCAAGATGTTAAAATCTGATTTCTCCCTTTCAAATGCCAATGATTAGTAGCTTGTTTTTCGAAGCCATTTTCTGTTAGTTCTATGCCTGGTGCATGATTTCTTACTTTTTAAATAATTCATGTTTAATTACACAAGTAATACATGTGTTCTTTTTGTAAAAAAAACCTGACACTACCAGTGAGACTAAAAGTGACTTTTGACTGCCATCCTCATGCCTATCCCCTCCCCTTCCCTGTGTACTCTTTCCTCCAGGGCAATCCTCTGTGCATGTGTTGTGTGTCCTTTCAAACTTTTTTTCTGTCCATTTATTATATATATAGAGAAGACCCTACAGAATCCAGTGTGTGTTTGTGTTAACGTAAAAAGTTTCATACCTTACTTTCTGGGTTTGCTTTTTTTGGTGGTGGTTGTAAGGATATATCTTGGAGATCTCTCATTATTTCCAAATATTGAATGGTATTCCAAATTAACAATAAACTAATGTACTTAGCTGTTTTCTTATGACTGGGCATGTAGGTTTTCCCTATTGCTACTATAAGCAACGTGTATACAGGTATGTCTACTTGGTTGTCCAGTTACAATATGAATCATGCTATGAATGAGGCTCGTGTGCTAGAAGAAAACTCTTAGCCAAGTGAACTTGGTCCATTGTTCAACATCTTCATCTCAACAGCTTCAATGTTTTCAGCCTATCAAGTGTGAAATCTGGGTGAATTCTTATGAAAAGGTCACTTAATTTCCTATTTTACTTTGCTGCATTTTATGAAGACATATGCTATAATGATGTTTTGAAAAGCTGAGCTCTGCTGAACACTGTTGGACAGGCAGTCCATCCTCCTCTGCCTTTTCTTTCTTGCTGTGTAGCAAGAACGATCAACTCCTAGGCCCCATGTCAGAGAGATACCCTGGTGTAGGGCTAGACCATGAATCCTGAAAAGCAGTTGACAGGATTTGTGCTTATTGTTCATGACTACTCAGTCACTTCTTGGCAAAAAAATTTTTGTAACCACTTTACTGAGGTATAATTTACATACCATTCTGTTACTTCTTTAGGGCTCTCTTGACAAGTAAAAATGGAGTTAATGATAATGCTTTGGTCCATTTTACTTTTTGTTTTCAACACAAAGGTATGCTATGTCCAAGAGAAACCTGAGGTACTGAATCCATTTCTTAATGTATTTTCATTTTATTTTTATTATTTATTCATTTAAATTAAAAAACAGCCAAATCTCCTGTTTTATAAAACCTTATAGGAACAGCAATAGAGCAGATTCATTCTGAATGTGCATTTTACAATAATATATAGGAAAAGCACTGGATTAACTTTCTTTTCCTCTTCTTTTTTATCCTCACCTGAAGAGTAAGGATATTCTTCCATTGATTTTTTAGAGTGGAAGGGAGGGAAGGGGGAGACAGGGAAAGAGAGAGGAGAAAGAAACATCGATGTGAGAGAGACACATCAACTCATTGCCTCTTACACATGCCTGACCAGGGGTGGGGATCAAACCTGCAACCCAGGTAGGTGCCCTTGACTGGGAGTTGGACCTCTGGTGCACAGACCGATGCTGAACCATGCAAGCCAGGGCTGGATTAACTTTCTTAATAACCTGTTGGGTTTTTTTGCACCTGGCATATTATAACCTATAATCTATTTTTATATAGACAGGTGATTCTACAAAGAAAGATCATAGAATAAGAATGCAGTCGGCTCCTGTATTTGGAACCCCACAGGTTCCGAATCTATGAGTTCCAAATCCACAGATTCAACCAACCATGGATCAAAAACATTCTTAAAAAATTATGTTGTTGCTGACATGTACTTTGTAGCTAGGACTATGATAATTGTGTCTATACTGACTGCATGCACTTTTTTGCTGTCATTATTCCCTATATAATAAACAACTATTTATATAGCATTTACATTGTATTAGGTATTATAAGTAATCTTGAGATGACTTAAAGTATAAGGGAGGATGTGTATGTATATGTGCAACTACTATGCCATTTTATATAAGGGACTTGGACAATTATGGATTTTGGTATCTGCAGGGGCTCCTGGAACCAATCCCCCACAGATACCAAAGGGTGACTGTCCTTAACTATGTAAAACAAAAGTTAGATTTAATAACCCCTTTATTTTCAGTTACAAGAAAATGTAAGATACATGGTTTGGTATCACTCTGCTTAAAATGTATTACAGGAGGAAGTCTAACAGGAGCTATATTTAATCCAGCTTTGGCACTTTCACTACATTTCAAGTGTTTTGATGAAGCATTCCTTCAATTTTTTATAGTATATTGGCTGGCTCCTTCTTTAGGTAAGCATGTTTTTATTTAATATGATTGAAAGATCAATTTATCTTGAAATATGGTATGGAATGTCACTGTAGCACATCAATTTCTAAAGCCAGAGAAGGCACAAAAAAGAAAATAAAAAGGATAGTTAACATACTTGAAATAACAGTTTATCTTGTGCAGTATCCTTTAAAACTGTTTTTATCTTCAAAGATGCAAAATTATCTAGTTAAGGATAGTCAGTTACAAGTATGATACCACTTAACAAAAAACTCTCAGATATGAGGGCAAAAAAAATGAGTGATTAATTAATTAAAAACTTATTTTTTTTACTAAAGAAATTAGTTTTTTCAAATTTGTGAACTCCAGATAAAATACTATTAGTTCATTTGACTCATTTTGCAGAAAAGCATTTTATATAACAATGTGTACCTGTAATGAGCACAGCTTTAAAATCCACAAGATTCATTACTGTTACTTCTATTAAAGCAGAAGATATATAAAGCTCCTCTATACAGATGGGCCAAATAACACAAAAAGGTAAAAAAATAACTGTAGTGATAATATGCACTTCTTTATATGTTATTGATTAGTCATTTGTTTTAAGCTTGATTATAATTCATAACTATAAGGGAGTATGAGGATACCTGGCTTTCTATTAGTTCATCCTTATTTTTATCTACAGTTAGCAGTTTGTTTCTTGTTGCTCGGCTCTGTTTGTTTTTCTTAAAGGGCACATATAGAAGGGAACAAGGGCACAGGTTTGAACAGCCGTCACACTTTATTCCTGCCATTTACCTCCCATTCCTTTATGTAGTATCTATTGTTAATATGCAGGTCTAAACATGAAGAATATCAGAGAAAACCTGCATTTTAAAATGCTAATATTGGTGCCTTTTTTTTTTTAGTTCAACAGATTGCTAGTTTTCCAATAATAAATGCTTTAAAGATAAATTTTCTCTATTTTTGATTTTTAAGAAGTTAAAAATGTCACTGAAGTTAATGAAGAAGCTAAAAAGGTCACTAATTGGACAGGTCTAGTGATAGTTTTCATGTGGAAAAATCTCTAATATGTCTTATTTGAAATCAACATATATTATTAACATTATATACATATTTGTTTAATGCATCCTAAATATGTTAACAATAGGCCCATGATACTAAGGAATTGTTTCACCCATTACTTGAAAGAATGCTAAAAAGTTGGCCTTTCCAGAAGAATTTGATAAGAAATCAGTAGTAATGACACTCTCTGTAAAAGGACCCTGACATTTTACTTTAAACACAGGTCCAAATCACTCCATAATTTCTTCTTGAAGAACATACTGGGGGGAAAAATCTCATGACAAATAAAAAAAGAAACTATCATCTCTGCCCCTTTAGAAAGTACAGTATACAAACTAGCGAGTAGCAGGACGGGAAAAAGGATATATTCTCTTCCTGTTATTGTAGTCCAAACAAGGAGGTAATATCATATATGGCCATTACCAAAGCACTTTAAAGAACCACTTATCCAAAAACAACCCAAACAAAATACAAATATACTTTTATCCATTCCTTTGCTTCCTATTTAAGGAATCCTTTAAAACTGGAATTAGAATCAACTTTTATGCAATTATGTATGGCCCTACTTAGCTTGTTGAAAATAAGCAAAGATTCTTAGTTGGCCTAAAGACCTCCTTTTTTCTAAATAGACCCAACATAAAAATTCCTGTTGTCGTTTTTTGGTTTAAGGAGCCATGTTCCTATATTTCTTTTTTTTTTTAAATATATATATATATTTTATTGAGGTCAGAGAAGGGAGGGGAGAGACGGAAACATCCATGATGAGAGAGAATCATTGGTCGGCTGCCTCCTACAGGACCCCTACTGGGGATCAAGCCCACAACCCGGGCATGTGCCCTTGACCTTGGAATTGAACCTGGGACCCTTCAGTCCGCCTTCAGTCCGCAGGCCGGCGCTCTATCCACTGAGCCAAACCAGCTGGGGCTGTTCCTGTATTTCTTTAAGAGATTTATGAATGAGAAACAATACAGGAATCCTTCAATATATATATGGATAAAAGGTGTGAAAATATGGCAGTTTTTAGAATACTGAATTTCAGCTTACAATGAATATTGTCATACACTGAAGTTACATTCCCATTGGAGGGAAAAATATGGCCTCAAATGAAATAAGGTCACAATTAAAGTCAAAGAGGGATAGGAAATATAAGAAATTACATTTTTACAAAAGTCATTCAAAGAGCTAAGTAAGAGATAAGGAGTCCAAACAGGCAAAACCCCATAAAGCTACATGAGGCAATGCCATGGAGTGAAATGGACAGCAATGCCCAGACAGTTATCTTCTTTTCTTTTTTGACCAAGCAAGGAGCAAGCTATTCTTGAAAACCACAGGCCTAGTTCTTGTTTCTCTTCATAGTGGATATTGCAATTCCTTTAATGCCCCCTGCCATCTCCCCAAAATTAATTTAAAATGTTATAAATGTGATTATAAGACTAGATATAAAATTATTTCTCTAATTTACACATATCATAGAATGAAAATTACATTTGCTTATATGAAATGGGAATTCCATTTTAGAAAAAAGTTTTCAATGTGATGTCTTATTTTCTAGCTCTGACTTTATAAAGAAAATGTCAGATTTGGTGGATCATAACCTAGGGATTGTTCTGACATATTTTTCATTTCAAGCCTTTGGTTGCAAAACAGACTCATCTTTTTAAAAATATGTTAAGCTATCCAAATGCTAATTAAACCTTAAGGTTTCCTGTTGTTACCAAATAAGAGTAATATAATATCAAATCTGCATGGGACAAACACTCATTCTTAATCTTAGTTAAAACTGACCTAGAGCTTTAGACCTAAGTATGTTAAGATAAAACATATTAACTATTGGAGATTTCCCTTTCAAGGCAGTGATTTGAGCACTCTACTCTAGCCCTGTTCCTCACTGAAAAATCAACCAGGACCTACATGCTAGATTTGCCTGGTATGACCTCAAAATGAAGATTTACTATTATGTCATTTTTTTTCATATTTAAGATATAAAATTTCAACATTAACCAAAATTTTGTTCTAGATATTTTGCTTAATACAGCTTTAAAAGCTATTAACGGTTAAGATTTGATGAAAAAATGAGAAGAGATAAAGTAATCTAACATAGTGTTCTTTTTTGATCATTCCAAGTGAAAACTTAAGAGTGCTTTCAGTTTTATTTTCCCAGAACATCCTTAGGGCAGCGATTTTCTTTATTTTTTTTCTAATCCTCATCTGAGGAAGTGAACACCCCCCCTACACACACACCACCACCACCCACCCAATTTATTTTTAGAGAGAGAGATCAATATGAGAGAAACATTGATCGCTGCCTCCCGTACATGACCGGTGCAACCTAGGCCCTGACTGGAAATTGAACTGGCAACCTTTAGGTGTAAGGGGTGACACTCCAACTACTGAGCCACCTGGCCAGGGCTAGGGCAGCAATTTTCAACAGGTGTGCTGCCAGAATTTTTAAAATCTGCAATACCAGAATAGTCAGGGGCACTGACCTTTTCCCTTAAGATTGTCAAATAAAAAAACAACAACCAAGAACAGCCAACATAACTATAGATAGGTATCTGGTGTGAATGAATCAAAATTATACTATTTTTTTGGTCAGATTGGCAAAAAGTGTATTTTTTGGTGACTGCAGAATTTTAGTAATTAGTGTGTGTGCCATGAGATGAAAAAGGTTGAAAAGCACTACTCGAGGATATGGGGGACAGTGTTGCCACTTTAAAGAGCAAATGGAGACCCAAGTCCAGAGGTTCTGGCTCAACAAGTCAGTAATGGAGTCAGAACTAGAACTCCAACTATTTAGGTTTGGTTTATCCTCTATGTTTAGATCTTACTGATTTTACCAAGTACATATTGTTTTTAAGGGTTCATGGTTGAAGAAGAATAATGCGAGAATATTAGATTTAGAAACGATCTACATTTCATGTAGAATTGATGTAGCAAATTCTTTTAAACATTGCTTTCCAATCTCTAGGTATATAATTGGACATATAATCTTAAGATATACCTACTTGTTGATTATGAATTTCTTTAGAGATTTGTTTTTATTTTATTGTGTTTTATCTTTCAGGTATATTGCTGATGATTTTGACATTCAGCTTGTTCCTTCCATGGCTGTATGACAACCATACAACTAATAAGAAGGAGTAACTATTCCAAAAGACTCAGACTAAGTCATAAGACAGTCTAGTTGGACGTGATAAAGACTTTGTCTCCCCAGATTCAGCACACTGGCTGCACTGGATTCATCAGTGTCACTTCCTTGAGGAAGCTGCCTTAGTTTTCATCACTGGGACTTAAAAAATTACTATGAAAATGAGGCATCCTGTATTTCTCAGTTAAGACTTGTTCTTTTGAGTGTGTATTAAATGCTGCTAGCAGAGACTCACTACATTAACTATAAATCAAGTGATAATTGTTCATTTTGATGAGGAAAAAAAATGAGTACTGGGTGAAAAAGGAAAGGAAGGTGATGGGAGGCCCAAAGAAAGTGTGTATATCAAGTGTCTCCTGAATGAACAGGATTTTTAACCACCGTACTAGTCATGCTCTCAGACCTGGAGAGGATACTTTACAGCCAGTACCTCACACAGTGATACCCAGTGTCATCTTTCAATAGGAAAGTTGCTTTTGGAAGCAGATTATATACCCACTCATATTCCCAGGGTTTCCTAAATTTTAAATATATTCTAATCTAAACTATTTTCTCTAAACAGAGCAGCTCACTAGCTTTAGGCAAGCTGTTATTCTTTAATAGTATACTGTATAATGACACAAAGCACCCATACAAAGTCAAGATGTAACCTTTTCACACTCTCATTTGATCCTAATCAAAGTAGGTAGGGCATGTATTTTTAATCTGTTTTACAGATAAAGAAACTAAGTCTAGGGAGTGTTGCGGCCCTGCCCAAGTTCAAATACAGTCAAACACCATCTTGAGGACTTCTACTTTAATACAAAAAATATTCTCAGTCATCAATATGACTAAAGGAAAATGAAGATTTTGAAGAAATATTAAATATTTTATAACAGTAAAATTTGTTTAGGAATTAACTAGCCTTTTTTTTTAAGGCTTAAAGAACCTTCAAAATTTCCCCTATTTCCTTTATTGTATGAGGTCTACTTTAATGAAAGTTCTGGCCATAAAAGGTTAGGTGTGTTTCTTTTCAAAGGCAATTCCATTATCAGGGTGAGAACTGAAGTAAACAAATATGGGGTGAAATAAAATCTGTTTGAGCAATAATCAATTAGGCAAGTGACAAACTGCCAGGTACTTCAAGTGCTGCTTGGTGATCAGCTTGTACAGTCCCTCTTTACACCTGCAGACTGAACTATGGCAAGGCAGCCAGCCAGCCAGTTTGACAACCGTGGACTAACACACCTTAGTAGTTTCTATTTTAAAAGCAGAGTTCATAAAATTGTGACAATGGCTAAATTCAGTCTCTGACATGTTTTGTTGTTAATCCTCACCCAAGGATCTTTTTCCATTGATTTTTAGAGAGTGGAAGGGAGAGGGCGAGACAGAAACATCAACGTGAGCTGGGGAGGGAGCCTGCAACCTAGTTACATGCCTCTGACAGAAATCAAACCCAGGTCCCTTCAATTTGTGAGCCTATGCTTTATCCACTGAGCCAAACCAGCCAGGGCATGACATGGTTTATTTGGCCTGCACAGTATTTAAAAACAACACACACCACACATACACACACACCCCCCTAGTATTTTAAGTCTTTTTCAAAATATGTGGCAATACTAGGCCTGAATTCTGCCCCCTATAAAAAACATGCCATCAGATATGGCATCTGCTACCGGGGTACTTACTACAGTTATCTACTGTAGAGTCCCAATTCCCCATTGTTCCTTTAAGAACTTAGTTCCTGTCTTACTCTTTCTACGATACTACTCCGGTATATTTCTTGTGATTTCAATGCCCATACAGATGATGCTTACAGTGTCTTGCCTCTCAGTATGTTGGCTGAACTGAAAGACTCAATAGTTTTTCCTATTCTGTCTCAGCTACAACTTTGGTCATAACCTTGAATTTGTCATTAGCAATAACTCAGACTCTTCTATGATCTCAACACCCCACTCTCCAGCACTAACACCTCTTTCCAGCTTGAGGACCCTATTTCGAATGATTCCTTGACCTTCATGGGGAGCTTTTGTTCATTGCTACTACCCCCTTTTCACATCTCTCACTCCTCTCAAGTGTTCTCTTTCCTTAAGTGTGTATGTTCCCCCACATCCCGCGTGGTTCAGGATTCAGGATCTGGAAGAGGGGCCGCACACAAATGAAAGAGACGAGACAAGAAATAATTTGGAAATTGGGGGGGCCAGGCGAGAGCTCATCCCAAAAGGATGGACTCCGCTTGTGCTCAGGCCTCGCCATCTTTTTATTCAGTTTGGGATCCACCCATAGCCCTTAGGCAGGGAAGTTCCAGTAACAGACAATCTTATCAGTAAGGATTTACATGACTCTGATGGGGAAGTTGCTTCAGCTACCATTGTCTGGACTAAACAGTGGGTGCATAGCTCTGACCTTTGCCAGGGCTTCAAGGGTCACCAGCCTTCCTGGCTCCTTGTCCACACCTCTCTGCTAGAGAAGACAAGAGGCGGCTTCCCACACTTAAGCAGCTTAAACTACACACTTGCATACCATTTTAACTTCCTTGTTTCTTTATCTCTTCATCATCCTCACATGGCTTAACCACAACTTGATTAAATCTGCTTATTCCATGCCTGCACCTGAACAGTTCTTTCAAAGAATTTTTCTGTAAAGGGAAGAAAATGTGGGCAGTAGCTGAAGGAGAAAGATGGGTCAAGAGATTTTTTTCTTAATGGGAAAGATATCAGCATGTTTATATGCTGACCAGAATGGTGCAGTAGAAAGAAAATAACTGATGATGTAGGAGAGGAAGGGGAGATTTAGTGAAGACAGAATCAAATACACAATGGAAGGGGTTGGCTTCAACCAGAGGCATAGACAGCTCATTCATAGTAACAGGAGAAAAAGTAATATATTGGCACAAGAAGAGTTAGGTAAGTAGATGTGGTAGTGGGAGTTTGAAGTTCTTCAATTTTCCTCTTCCCAATTTCTCTAAAAGCATTCTAATCAGGCCTTCAATTCCAACATTCCACTGAAACTCTTGCCAAGAATTCCATGTTGTTAAATGGAACTCTCATCCTTCCTATCAGTATTTGATACAATTGATTACTGTCTCCTGAAAACACTTGTTTCAGAAAATCATTTTCTCAAGTTTCTTTAGATAGTTCTTCCTCCTTTCCCCAAACTACATGATAGTTTCCCAGAGCTCACTTCTCTGAGCTCTTTTCTATTTATACTTACTGCCTTAGTAATTTTATCCAGTCCTGTGGCCTTATAGCAGCATCTATATCCTAATGACTGCCAAATTTATATCTCTAGCTTATATAACTCCAGACTCATATTCATCTGTATATATGACATTTCTCTTTGGCTAATAACTTAATTCAAGCTGCGTAGTTTATCCAATCTATTGATGGGGTATTCTAGTCATTCACTTCAAGAAAATTTTTTTAAATTGATTTGAGAGACAAACATTGATCTGTTGTTCCACTCATCCATGCATTCACTGGTTGCTTCTTATAAGTGCCCTGACCAGAGATTGAACCTGCAACCTTGGCGTATTAGGACAATGCTCTAACCAACTGAGCTACCAGGACAGGGCCTAGTTATTCACTATTAAAGCAATGCTTCAATAAACATTCTTGTGCACACCTCCTGTGTACATCTGTTTTTCTAGGAAGGCAGGCTTTCATAATGTTCATTATGGCCTAGTTTGGTCCAAGCCTCCACTTACTTCCTACTTCCCAGATTACTGCAGTAACTTCCTGTTTCTACCCCCGAGCGATCCTATCAATATATGACACAGCTTCTTATTTCTGACATAAATGCATGTATTCCTCCAGTTAACTACTATAAAATTGTAGGAAATGGGTGTTAATGTGTTGGGGAAAACTGCATATCAACCAATGGGACTTCTGGGTTATACTGACATCACTGCCCTATTTAGCAACTGTTTGTGAACTAGTTCACATTTTTTAAAAAACATGCTATAACAAAACTGTACTTGAATGCTAGGGCTAGAATAACTACAATTTAAATAATCCTACATGGTGAGTAAGTTTCCTTGCTTCTAAATGGCATACAAGATTCCACAACTTCTTGTGGAAATATATGTTTTTTAAAAGTATTTTTATTGATTTCAGAGACGAAAAGAAAGGAAGAGATAGAAACATCAATGATGAGAGAGAATCATTGACCAGCTGCCTCCCTGCACGCTCCCTACTGGGAATTGAACCCAGGACCCTTCAGTCCACAGGCCAATGCTCTATCCACTGTGCCAAATAAGCTAGGGCTATAGTAGCTTCTTAACTAGAATCTTTGCCTTTAGTCTTCCTCCTTGACATTCTAAGTTGGCCAGACTTGTATCCTAATCTACCACTTCAGTCCCTCACACAAAAAACTGCAATGGCTCCCATAATAAACCCCACCCCCCACCCCCACCCCCCCATCACAGCACTTAATACCCTGCCTATTTCCTAGCTTGAACACCTTGAAGCACCTATATCTTAATCTGTGTACTCACCACCAAAGAACAGGCACTCAAAATGTATCTTTTGTTTAAATGAATTAAAAACTCCCTATCAATCCAAAATACTTCCCATTCCTTCACAATTTCCTCCTACTGTAGCTAGTCAATCTTCTCGATATACACTGGTTACCCCAGTCATAGTTATACTAAAGTCCACGGTTACTCTAGCCTCTGAGCCATTCTTTTACCATCAAAGGTGACAATCTCAAACTGCAAAATCACCTCAGAGAAGATTGAAAAACAAGCAAATTTCAAATGCCCAAATGTTAATTCCATAACTTAGAGACCAGTTAACAGAAATGTGCATGTTGCCCTGGCCGGTGTGGCTTAGTTGGTTGAGCGTCATCCGTGCACCAAGGGGTCTCAGGTTTGGTTCGATTCCCAGTCGGGGCACATGCCCAAGTTGCAGGTTTAGTCCCAGTCAGGGTGCAGTCAGGAGGCAACCAGTCAATGTTTCTTTCTCTCCCCCTCTCCTTTCCTCTCTCTAAAAAAAAATATATATATTTGTATATATAATGTGTGTGTACATGTTAACAGTTTATGAATAAGTCTCTCCTCTTGAAGACAACTGAGCTTGGGGATCACGAAATGAATGATAGACAGATCACAGAGTAGGAGATTAGTATCCAGAATATAGTACAAGGGCAGATTGTGGAAGTGTAAATCACCACATTCTTTTCAGAGAACAGCTGAGCAAAATCTAACCAAGTTTAAGATTTACACAAGTATTTTTTGTTTCTGGGATTAGCAGAAATAAAT